TTAGTAATAACTAACAATATATTATGCATCACGCAATGATTAATCTAATTAAATGCTTTCAAAATAATACTGTCAAACACTTGAACATTTTGAAGAAGTTGCAAGATAGACTTATATACATATATTTATGTGTAATATTATGTACACTGTAGTACAACTATATTGTCTATACTTCAACTCAAAGTTTGAACCTGTGTAGTGTATAATCTACGTTATCTTTATCAAAATCATCATATAATATAATTTATAGGTAAGCACTAAGCACCAAGCACCTATTAAACATTTATAGTTAAATAAAAATTCAACTTCCTACTGCCTGAAGGCCATCAACGGATTTAACAAGTCACTAATCATGTCTTCTCGTTGTAAATCACTTACACTTATTATGCTAACCTAATACAAATAAATTGTGTAATTTTACTAACAAGTTGACCCGGTAAACGTAATTTTTAGAGTGGTTTAGAGTATTGTTATCACTAGTATTATAGGTACATGTATGCCAAATGTCAGAAAATACATGCGTATGAGTTTATAAAATACTCCCACTGAAAAAAGCACTTTTGTTTTTTCACAAGTTTTTCAATTTTCTAGATAACTTTTCCAATTTTTTTTCCGTAAAAATTTTAATTGAACTGTTACTATTATAAACATTAAAGAAAAAAACGAATTTAATTAATTAATCCATTTTCATGCTATGCGCTTATAAATAAATAGCATTCAATTTTTATATAATATAAATGTAGAAAAATGATAAATGTAAAAATAAAATTAATATTGCAGTTGATACTGTTACAATATTATATCGAAATTTCCTTTCGTATTGTGTGGCACGTTAAGTCAAAAATTATGAAACTTCGAGATACAACTTTTTTAAATTTAATTGGCGCGATTAAAAATAAATGGCCAGTGAATTATTTTTTCTAGAATTGACACTATTTATTGACCACTGACTATCATTATACAATCATCAATATTAAAATATCATATTATAAATAAATATATATATATATATATATAAACCTATGCATTATATGTTTTGTATAAAATACTATTCAAATGTAATTTTACTAAAAGTGTATTAGTATCACATATAGATTAATTGTTATTCAATGAGCACTATTCGTAATATAAATTTATCTATATATAGATATACCTACCGGTATAATATTGTTAACATTTTTTTAGAAAGTTTTCCTTTTTTTGGTCAGGTAAAATTGTGGGCGCATTAGGGCTTCACCCCGTACACCAAACGAGTGTGTAATAATAACAGTCACATGGCGTAAACATATTATATAGGTAGTACCTATGGGATTTCACGCAGGACACTCTTACTACCCGCCTGGCCGCCACCGTACGCGGACCACCTCGCCACGCTAACAAAGACGCCGCGCACGAGATCAATCACGCCACACACGCGGCGATATTTACACGTACATATTATAATATTATTATATCACATATTATACGATCGTGATACTATGGTGTATAAGGGCGGTGGTACGTCAAAGAGCTCTAACAATTGTAAATATTGATAGACTGAAAACGCACACAATCGTATATATCATATTATATAGGTACACAATAATGTATAATATTATGTGTATAGGTTTATATAGTGGCCCCGTGAAGGTGTATCTCGTATACTCTTACATATATATATATATATATATATATATATATATATATATATGATATAAGTAATAAGTATGCGTGTGCGTGTGTGTGTTTTTGTGCAAGTCCTAATAGTGAGAACGGTGTAGTTGTTTTTATTGTGATGAGTGTGTGTGTGTGTGTGTGGTATTAATAATAAAATATTGAAACGGACTGGAAAACGACTCGCGCCTCCCCGATAATAGTTCGCGGCCGGCAACGGAAAGGCGCATGGGGGGGGGGGGGGCTCACTCGGCCGGATGGCGTGGTGGAGGGCATATTATAATATTATTGCCGTGGCGGTCAGTGCTGCAGGAGGCGGTGGTGGCGTGCGCGACAAACAACACAATACTTGGCTTAATGACCCGGCCTAGCCCTCCGAGCCCGGCATTCGAAACAATCACGTACGATTTTTTTATAATAACACCGTCCAGTATTATTTACGTACGTAAATACAATATTATTATACATGCCGACAACGCGGTTATAATATTATTATAATACGACGCTACGGTTCCCAGAAGTCGTGTGTGTGTGTGTTCGTTGTACGCATATAGTGCCGTACATAATAATAATAATAATAATAATAATAATAATAATAATAATAATAATATTATACACGGACAAGCCTTCGTCGTAAACGCCTTTTCCTACGGGACGGAACACATACTTACGTTATAGTATAGACTAAATTTTATTATTAAAATATAGGTTGTCGCAATGGCAATTTTTTCTTTTTTTCGTATAAAACAATATACGTTTCTATATCGTCGCCGTATCAACGATCGCGTGACGGGGAATATCGCGTCTCTCGTTCGCCCGTCACGTCTTGCGGCGCACTTTCCGCAGGAAAACCACGTCGTTTTAGTTTTGCAACCGTATCGCATCGTCGCGTATCGATGTTGTCTACACCGTTTGACCGCGGCGGTTGTCGACGCTATTGATGGGTTTTGACTAGACGACGATACAGACTTGTACGAACAATGAGCTTTTGCCCCCCCCCCCCCAAACACGCACGTGATCCGATCGAAATATAACGTATAATTCCAAAATCCTACAACTGTACAGCGTGTTTGACGAATGCACTCGGACGGACGTCATAATATTACACAAATATTTAAGTAAACCATTCCCACTAATCGTGAATTTTATGGCTGTATATAATATATTTTATTGACTCGTATTGCTTTATTGCTGACAGTCCACGGGGAGGTGGTGGCGAATAACAAATACCAAATATCAAATACCAAATAGTCATGTAAGTGCCTAGGACCTAGGTACTTTGTTCCCACTACGATATGACGACGGGTATCAATGCATTTCCATCAAGTATACGAGTCGTGGGAACCCGACTCAATAATATAATATTTTACGGTGTTCGTTTGATTTACGGACGTTTTAATTTTCATTCATATTGTTACATAACATACGACTCAATTGTAAGGTTATATAGCTTAATTATTTTAGCAGAGATAAATTTTAGTCGTGGATAAAATTATTATGTATGCGATATAATAATTAACTCAGATATTATAACGATATAAAAAGAACCATAACATTATACTATTATACGTAAAAAACATTTTCACGGTAGTTAAAAATTTGATTGACATTCGCTTTCGCGTTTTGCACTTGGACTAAATTAGACACATGTGTAATATAATTATTTTCCATTAATCAACTGGTCTAATTTTAGGCGTTTATTTATATGTTACACGTATGTATTATATCATACTTATTGCAATGCGGCCTCAGTTCCACCACACGTAAAAGTTTTTGTAAATAAATGTAATGTGTGGCGTCTATAACTATAACATACGTGCTTAATTAATGTTTTTTTTTTTTTTTTTGTAATACACCAAAGTAGTGAATTTTCATCATAATATCGTACTGGGTAAAAAAATATCGTTTTATAAAAGTTAGATATTACATATTATTTATCGCGCGCCTTAGAATTTACGTCTGACATAATCATAATAACAAGACTATGCTCGTTTAGAAAAAAGGATTTTTTCTTCTTTTTTATAGACGACTACAGTAATTCTTATCTTGTATTCGTTTTGCATTTTTCTTTTTTATTGTTTTTATACGTTACATTATTACCTATATTTGTTCTTTTATGGTGGTCTACTGGATTTTTCACGTTTTGAACAATAATTATTTGCGCGCATTCGTGTACACCGACTATAATATATACAGACACTTTGTTAGGTATGCGGTGGTGGTTAGAAGGCGGAATAACGAATAATATAAATTATAATGGAACGAGTCTAATTTTTTATTACATTATTCCTACTGTACGCGCATCGCGCAGGTACCCTATACATATAATAATAAATATAGCCCATAATTATAAGTCGTAAAAAAAACCACGCGGCTGGCTGGAAACGGCCCGAGGGGGGCTCCACTTCGCCATTTCAGATCCTCCGCCCGATTTCTGTATTATTTTTTTTTTTTTTGCATTAACTTATAGGTATTACGGGTATTACACATCGAACATTATAATATACGTAATAAAATGTATCATTATATTATACGTGCTTCGTGCATATGCGCCGCGTTAGCAGGATGTATTTATTTACTTCGTTACATTATTATTGGGCTGCACATTCGACGCCATATTGTGTAGACTTTACATTACAACACCAGTATTAAATTAAATGTGTAATGAAATACCTGTGCATTAAAAATAATATGATGGCTTTAAAAGTACGTTTTTTAATCAGATTATTATTATTACTATTATTATTCTTTGAACCAATGGGAACAACTAGACGCGAAACTCGTTTATGGTTTTTTTTTCTTTTTTTTTTTTTTTAGATAACAGAATTCCTTTGTAATATTATATTCATTATATTCATTTATTCGTTTCGACAACGATCGATAGGTTGGATTCATACGATTACACGATCTAACGTGGCGCCATCGCAGTAGCTTTTCTAGATACCTACTTTTTTTCATTCCACAGTGTTTATGGTGATTCGTAAACTATTATCGGATTATCTCAATTCGACCGCGTACTCATTATACAACACAACCCTAGTTTGAAAAATAGAATGATTTCTATTCAATAATAGGTTGCTATTGACTGTGCAAATTTTAATAACACAGATACCGTTCTTTAGCTATATATCGTACGGCGTAACTATCTACATATTTAGTCAAAATCACGCGTAGTATTATTAAATATATCTTGTTATAAACGTAGATAATATTATGTTACGTTTATGCTTTATTGTCATGCATAAAATATACAAAAGAGTATAGTTTTGAATAAAAAATTATATTTTTATGAATAAACCGTGTTAAAAATATGTTTATATTATTAAACATTTCTATATTTTGTCTAGGAACCCCAATTAGCCGTCTACCCATCATGGCCAAACGCGTGTTGGATCTGTACACTCTATACAAGTTGGTTGTCCAGAGAGGTGGTATCGTTGCGGTCATCACCAAGAAATTGTGGCAAGAGATCATCCGAGGTCTGGGACTACCTCCTTCAATAACGAGTGCTGCGTTCACATTACGTACACAGTAAGTACACACTATTTATATTATAATATTATTTAAATATTTATTATTGTCCCCGTTTAATTGTGAACAACAATAATAAAAAAAAAAAAAAAAAAACACGTAGGTACAAAACGATAAATTTATATAACATATTATACTTGACGTATAACTGTTCAAGCGGGTAAAGTATAAATATAGTACCCGAATATTTAAAATAACTAATATTGTATAATCGAACCATATCGTTACTTTCTGAACATTTTGAATTTAAGTAGTACGTTTATGATTTTAATGACTTAAAATCCTTAAATCTTGATATTATATTATAAGTACTATTGAATATAATATAATATAAGCATCATATGAAATATATATGTAGATATGAACACGAAAAACGTTATTGTCCTTGGAAAACGTCTTACGAGAACTTCGATTGATTACATTCGGTGACACCACTGACAGGTAATAGGTATTTCCAGATAATCCCGAGACAGTTTTCAACTTGCCAGCAGTTATATCATTTTGCCCATTACCCACAAATAACATAAATAATACGTCATGTGGGTGGTCCCGAATATATCTGTAGAAAAATAATATTTTTTTTTAAAAACGCTCACAGATACGTTAAATATTTGTACGCGTACGAGTCACGAATGAACCAGTTCAGTACGTTGGACGAGCTGAACATGGCCATAGCGGGCAACCGGCGCGAGGGCCGGCGGAACAAGTCGCTCATGTACTCGGACATGCCGCCGCCACCGCCCGGCCACATGCACCACCATCACCACGGTGGCGGCGGCGGCGGCCATCACCAGCAAGTGCACGGTGGTGGCCACCCGCATCCAATGATGGGCGGGGGCGCTCCGTCGCAGCAGCCGTCGCCGCAGCAGCAACAGCAACAGCACCAGCAGCAGCAGCAGCACCAGCCGCCGTCGTCGCATCACCATCACCACCACTACAATAACGTGTTGGCCGCCGAGGACCGTTTCCGGCACCTGGCCGCCGCCATCATCGACAACCACCATCACGCGGCCGCCGCTGCAGCAGCCGCCGCCGCGGCCGGCGTCAGCGTCGACCACCCCAGGCTGCGGATGCAGTCGTGCAGCCCGCCGCAGCATCAGCAACAGTTGCAACTGCAACCGGAATGCAAGGCGTCCGCGGTCGCGTTGCACCAGACTACGCCCCGGTCGCCGGCCACCGCCGGATTGCCGCCGCCGCCACCCATGCCGCCGTCGTCTCTGTTCAACGGCCACCAGCCGCCGTCGTTCCAACACCTCCACCAACAGCAGCAGCAGCACCAGCAGCAGCAGCAGCAGCAGCAGCAACAACAACAACAACAGTCCAACGCCGCCCAGTCCAACAACGAGCAGACCAACAAACAGAGAGGTTAGTAGCGTACTGTAGGTATATAAATGTTGTCATGTCCCCCCGGTTCCAGTTTGGTTTGGTCCGGTTGCAGTTTTTGGTATAGTGGTCTGCAGGTTCTTCTCGAGGAGAGAAAACCGTGAACGCGGTTTTCGGTCGACGAGGTTTACTCTTATCGGTTTGCTTAATGTGCAATAATTTTAAATTTTTAACGTAATGATAAAACGTCTTGTTGTTTTTACGGTTTGCGATCGACTGCCTGCAAAAAATATTCTAGCGACGAATGTCGCGCATACAACGAAATTATACTTACATGCTAGGTATAGGTACATTCTCAAAACTATAAATGAGATGCGTTCTTGACAATACACTGATGTATGATGTCAAACGAATGATGAGTTATGATATTATGTTATTGCACGAACCCGACGGCAGAAGATCGCTTTAAAAAAATCAAGCGTCTTTTATTGGTAAATCAAATATTTTTTTACGCTATAATTTGATCGTCTCGTCGCGATTATATATATATATATTTTTTTTTTTTTACCTCTAATGGCGTTCAACTAATTTATGTTTATTTAAAAAGTTAGACGTTTGATTATATTTTTAAACGAGGAAATCGATTTGTGTACTCGTTCATTCGATAAGTAACGGTGTTACAGGTACAAGAATGTACTTATGTGTACAATAACTGTACAATACACGACGTTTTGTCTTGATATTCTAGGTTAGATAAAAAAAAAAATTAAAAAAACAAAAAATACCTTTATTATACCCAATATTTTAATTTTAGTGATTAATTAATGCAATAAAATAAGTGGATTCAATATTATAGATTTCTCACGGGCTCTTTATCTTTAGATAATGTTGTGTAGTACATAACATTCAAACAGCAAAATTCTTTTGTCGGTAACAAATAATTATTACTCGCCGCATGTTTTGTCAATAGGTAAACACAGTTGGTAATGACTAATAAAAGAAAAAAAATATGTTTTTTGTTTTTTTTTTTTTTTTGTTTAGACACTTAGATTTCACTTTATTGGTAGGTGCATTTTAGGTATCTATATAATATAATTGTTATCTCTGAGTTATATATGCTATAAATTTCTTAGTCATTATTGAGTGGTTCCTGTGAACATACTATTTTTTTTTTTTTTTTTTTATAAACACACCGCGTTTATAATTAACGACTGTTTATTGTATAATCGAATTTCGACGTGAATACCATAAACTATTTATATCACACAGATTTGTATTGTGACATATCAAATTGAACAATATACGTTGCCTTTACGTAATAGGATGTATAAAATATTATATTTTCTACATAATCCGAACAGTTTTGTACTGCCTTGTATTATATATATATACAATATGTTTGTATATATAATTAACTATTTATCGCCAATAAAAATAGTATAGAAATATTATACTGCACGTGGTGTGGTCTTCTCATTACATTTAGTTACATTTCATTATACACTTGATAATGATATATTTTAATAGGAATATTACATTATGGTATTTTATTCAATTCGTCATTTGATAACGTAAATATTGTCAGTGGCTGCATTATGACGATCAAAATGTTTAATGTTCACTGTTAAATCAGATAAATATACTACCGATATTAAATATCTGTAACTGCTGGGCGCAGCCCGGGATTTTCGTCTATAAAAAAAAAGTCTGGTATGAATTTATTTTTCAAGACAATATGCAGTTACTATTCAAATATATACTATAAATCGTATGAAATAATTAAGTTGTACGTAATTTAGAGTAAATTCGCGTGAATATTGATAGCTGAGAATGCTGAGATATTCCGTCAACGACTCATTTCTGGCATTACACAATGTGTACCTACTTTGAAAACTAGACAGTCATACGCCAATACTATTGGACCAAGATTGAAAGATAATACAATACAAATTTACTTACCTAATATGATCGAACATGACGTATCGCATCGGTATTATAGGTAAAAATTTCAAATTTTTTTAGAAAGGACTGAAGTCTTAAAAAAATGTTTAATATAAAACAATAGCCGCGGAATAAGTAATTAATGTTATACATTTTCTCAAATCCTTTCATAATCGTTTAAATATAAAAAATTAATATTTTATCTCACTATATTAGTTTTTATTTAAATACAATATGAAATATTGTATAGAAAACACAATAATTCACAATTATCATAATTTATCTCCAGACATACAGAACGTATTGTTCAGCAATTATAACTTTATATCTACCACCTATCAGACATATCTCAACACTAAAACAAGATTTCAAACAATTGTTTATATTTAAATAATAATTATTGGTTTTTTTTCTAAATTCCATACAGTGATGATAAATAAAGTATAAATATATATACGTTATGAGAAACTTGACAGAGATTTATGGGTATTTATATACATGCGGAGTAGAACGGACGCGTTGATAATATTTTTTCAATGTAAACCAGTGAGACGTACTGACGTTTGTTATTTTCTTTATTTTTTTTTTTTCGTCTATATTGTTATAATTTACACTTACAGTCTCACGACAGCCAGACGTGTGTTAAGGTAAACGAATCGTATAAATACGAAAAACAAAATAAACCTTTATACCAATCTCGCGGAAAAGATTTCGTGAAAATGCTCTGTCACAACGCGGGAAATCGCATATTATATTTTGCTGGCCATCGTCGTCACCGTTGTTGTTTGACAGCCGACAAGATTTCTGATGAGGTGTGTAACTTTATCGTGGAAAACTACAGGGAGATGATAATGACTTAATAACATTAAAGCTATAATAAAACAGTTTCTAATAACGGCTTCTGTTAAATTCTGTGTTTTCGTTGTTTGCATATAAATTATAATTATACACTTTTGTTAGTAATACTGTAATAGTATATATAATATGTTCATAATATATTCTATACAACGTTATAGCTAAAAAATTTTAGACTTTGTGGTTTTAAAAAAAATCGTGAAGATTATTTGGTACGTATATTTTACACAAAATAAATATTTTTTTTATAAATATTAGGTTTGATAAAATGGAAAATTCATCGTTCGTTATAGCTATTAAAACACCACGATTAAACAACATAAATCTGAGAAACATAGATAACAGTTAATTCTTAATTACACGGTTCAGTTAGTTAAATCTTTCATGTTTATGAAATCAACGACATACGTATCATTTATATTGATATTAGAAAATAAATTTATAAAAAACGATAAATCACTTGTCATCTACTAAATATTGTATATTTTTTTGTCGAATAGTTATTATTATTTTTTTTATGTTTGTAAGTTTGTTTTAATACTTAAATATATATGTAGGTCTTTCCGGTAGAATAAAAATAATAGATAACTATAGCTTATAACAAAAATTAAAAATAATATCTATACCAACCTAACTGCATATTAATATATATAAAACGCAGTACGAGTTTACCATTAGATTAAATGTTTTAAACAATGTAAAAAACCTCAATTTTTGCAACCACGCCAACGAATTATGGATGATAAGCGTGATCTTTAATATGTCACTTGGACATTTTTCAAGTCAGAAACTGTTCGATTAGCCTGAGTGCATTTCGAATGTACCGAAATCGCCTTACTAAGATTAAGTTGTATTATGTTTTAATAACCGTTGATCTTTTTATTTCCATACGCTTTTATAAATTATTTGGCTCAGTCACAAATGCTTTCGTGTCGGGACATTTCATGATACACACCTAATTCGTAAGCTATTTTACAAAATATATATTATAGTTACGCAGCACACGAGCAAAAACACATATTGCACCTATTAATGACCGCCTTTTTAAAATTTCGATATTTCAACCTCACTAATATGTTCGATTATTACCATCGTACTACCGCGCGTGATTAAAATCGTCAGAATGCAAAGACAAACATAACACCTATACCTATATTATATTACACACGCGATATAATCTGATCAGACAAAACATCTTAAATTTTCACGAGTTCGGTGGTATGCAATGTATATATGCGAAGTCGGTTGTCTGTTATTTTATACGTTAATATATTATTTTCGCTGTGGTATACTGCGCGTTTACGGTGCGAACCGTTTTCGGAACATTACCACGAGCGTTGTACGTATTATTATATTATGATATTATTATACTCGTATTATTGTACGCGCGTACACGTGTCGGCGACGAAACGCAACGACTACGTTGCAGGAGTAGACTGAAAAAAAAAAAAATCATGTATTTATAATATAAACGTGGGTACCTATGTAATATTTTGAAGAAACGAAAAAAGAATATCGCGCGATGCGTTCTAGTTTCTGCTCATTCATCAGACGTCTTCATTAGTTACGGTCGCGGCGTCGATCAAAAACGCGTTAAAGGTAAAGCCCGTTGGAATCGTATCAAGACGGATCCGAGTTTGAGCTGCTGGCCGGTTAATTATTACACACGCGTGGTGTATACGGACGGAACACATTTCCCGTTGTCACCCGTTAATAACGCGCCCGCCGGTAAAGTCTCATTCGAGTATATATTATTATTACTATTACTATTACTATTATTATTATTATTATTATTATTATTATTATTATTATTATTGTTGTCTGCACGACGAATGTGCGTATTTATAACTATTCATGTCGTGTCTCCGGTAAATCGTGTACGCCATCGTCTCTTCGGGACGTGAGACGAGGTCAACAGTCATCGTTTCACGTTTTATTTTTCAACGGGATTCAAATTATCAAACTTACCAACTTACCATATGTATATATTATACGTGTTGTACAGGACAAACTTCCCCCGGGGTGCTCTTTCTCGTTTTTTCATTTAATAATCGATTTATTATTGTTTTTCGATATTTTAAAATAATCATAACATGATATAGATATATACTAATTAAATACCATATTATATTTTTAAATTTTTGAGATTTTGTGTTTCAATAAAATTAAGAAGTACGTGTGCGGATAAAAACATATATTTTTCAAAAATGAAAACTCTAATTTTTACTGCCATCTATTATTTAGTGAATATTTTCTTAAAAATTTCGATGTACCTAATTTCTTTATCCTAATTTCTTGTCTCATGTATATATAGTCTTATCAAAAGAATTGTGGCTATGTGACTATGTTAGTTACTAGATGGGATATCGATTTAATTTTAACATTTTAATTATCTGTCATTAGAAGTTCATATTTTGTTTTAGTGCGTAAAATCATTGAAACTTGTTTAAAATATGATATTAAAACATATTTTAAACGATGAGTACCTAGTTAGTTTCAATCAGGTACATTAATATTAGAAATATAATAAAAATAAGTTATGTTAAATTAATAAATGATGCTTTAGTTTTATTCTATTTTCATCATGCTCTTTTGTGTTCAATTTAAGAATTAATTATCAAATAATACAAAACAATTTTAAGTTTTATAAGTTTTTTCAATAATAATAAATAAAAAAAAAACACATTGAGAACAGAAATTACATAGACGGTTGCACGTCCAATACTGTATTATCTGCATACGAGTATAAAGATATATTATTATAAGTCATATTTATTTAAATATATTTTAATCTAAAATCGGTGTACACTTTTACTCAGTACAATAAAAACGTTCGATACTATGCTATAGGCCGTCAGTCACGTCCGTTTGTTATTTGCATTTACATGAAGATATCTAAATGACGTTTAATATTGCTCTGCGATAATATGTCACCGAGTGCATTAATCGTTAACGTACATGTCCGATTATTCGGGCCGTTGAAAGAGCCTTCGTTATCATTATTAGCGTACTAATTTATGGTGTCGCGGAAAAATGTCGTGGTATAAATATCGCTGCAAAAACGTCGCAATGAAAAAATGTCACCAAAAATAAAATGAATGTCGCAAGTAGTAATGTGTATATCGTGGTAGTCGCACCGATCGGTGATATCCGATTGAGCACTATAAAAAAATAAAAATATTTTGTACAGTGTTGTCAGATTTTCACTAGTTACCTCCTACGTACCTATGCTGTGAAGATTACTAGTGGGTAACTATATCATATCATATTAGTCGATATCGATCGATGAGTTCCTACGGAAGTCAAAAATAACTGTGATAGAAACCAGAACTGTTGTTAAAAATGATTTTTGGATCGGCTTTTCTTCCGAGTCATGAATAGTATCTGATGCATTTATCGAACTTATCAGTGTATGTCCAGATGAAACTGCTTGCACAGAATATATTATAAATTAAATTATAATATGTTAATATTTTTAAAATACATTTTTGACATATAGCGATATTTTTGTGTTCATGACGTTTTTACCGCGACATTCTATAGCGACATAATTACCGCGAAAATTTGACGTGGTTTCCTAATTCATACACGTCAGTTATCATACCGTATAAAAGGTATGTGCATACACAGCGCCGTAGCTGTTGTAGTTGTTCGATAGGCCGAGCCCGATAAAAGTTTTACAGCTGTGGATTTAGCGTTTTACAATATCACATAATAATTATTATATTGATGCACCGCCACGGTTAATCGAAATACTGCGTACCCATTCATCATAATTTATAGCATTATTTTATGTATTTTACGCAACAATTCATCATTTTGAAGGTGGTAATAATTAACAGTATGTAGGTAGTACTTTATGAAGCGCTTATTAATTACTTTGGTACCTTACTAATAATATTAATAATAATAGCATTGCTATTGTATCAGGTACTATAAATATTTACCGTTTTTTTGTCTTCGTATTACGGCTGTGAAATTTACATCGATGTGTTAATCAATCGATGTGTACGCAACATTGCGTGCGTACGAGTTATTACTAATAACACTGCACGTACCTAGGTATATTACCATAAGTGATTGCGATTTAACGAATAAGGAAAAAATAAATATTTGTTTTTTTTTTTTTTTTTTTTGCTAATCAAATAATATGATAATGGCAAAAAATAAAACTACAGTATTCAACTCTCAGTATCTACTTGTGCGTACACATATTATCATTTTGCGTTTTAATTAATAACAATGTCGAGTTGGTGAAAAAAAAAAATCACGATACAAAAAAATAGGAATTTCAAAACGTATAATAATTATTCCATTATTCCGGAACGATTAAATTTGCTTATTATTATTATATCGATTCGTCGTATAACTCATAATCTATAGCGTATACAGATTATACATATAGATTCTTTTCTAATGTTCCGTCTGTGAATTGTCTCCTCTCTTCATGTCATTCATGTCATTGTACTCAATTTTTCCCATCTACGTCATTTAGTGTTTATGTAAAGCAGATTGTAAATACAATTTAATAATAATAAAAAAATGTGTATACATACGTAGATTCTGTATAATTGTATTATTCTTTTAACATAATACTTCAGTGATATTGTGACGCTTAACATCCATCGATTGAAGGACACGGATCGCGATGTCCTCCGATAACACAACTCGCGTAGTGTCACTATTCATCTGACGACAGCGTGTGATTATTATATATTAAAATATACTTAGTTACTTGATGATAAAATATAATATATGACAAAATAATAATAACAGCTTTTGACATTCGAACGATGCATTTTAAAATTATAAAACTAGAACTTTCGACTAAACGATCATATAACACGAACAGATTTTTGCGCCGATGACACTGCAGTCACAATCCTCTCAAATTAAACCCTGTGCGATTTCATCCAAAGTGTACAGTCCTGTAATAGTATACAGTATACATCCCGTGTCATTTCGCGAATTAGAATTATTTGCAGCATTGACGACGTACCATGTACCCATGTGTTTAAAATAGTAATAGTTATACTACCATCAATCATTTATTAATACGATTCATATAGGTATATATATATATGTGTGTGTGTGTGTGTGTGTGTGTGTGTGTGGGAGTAGTAAAACACATGTGTGTCAAGATAAATATCGTTTTTAGGAACACGTTATAATTTAATATTATATAATAAACCTATACCGACACATGTGGGTAATTTTAATACATTTTAGGCGCTCTATTCGAATATATTATTTGAGATATTGTATAATACGGTTTTATACGAACAGGAACAGTCACGCGCCTTTCAGGATTTGTGTCTAACCGTTTCGCCATCGACCTTCTGTGTATAGGTCAGTGTTATGAGTGTTATGAGTTATGACTAATTATACTTATTTAATTTACTACACTGTATACCGGGACGTCGGGTTCTAGATCCATTTAAACGAGAGAACGATATGAATTATTTCACGAACATGAGTATAATATTTTATTTTTTGCTCAAAAATTGTGTTTGAATAATCTATCGCGATGCCGATGTGTAGATAACAACAAATCGATAATTAATACGCGGCGACGATGTAAATACTAATTATCGACAGCTTTAAGATTAGGTACGATCATTATACGTTCGTTCCCAAATCGACATCACAATAATAGTAATTTAATACAAAGATATTATTGTAAATATGTTTTCAAAATATTAACAATCACGCTCCTAGTAATAATCAAGTGTATACCGTCTTTATCGCAATAAAATTTGATATTTTTTTTTCTGATCTCTTGAATTTTTACGTTTTTCAGAGCTCCTCAACATGCTCATGTGGATGGACATTGTCAGAGCGAATCAAACCGCAATGCCGAGACTACCCATTTCAAGTAAGTGAAATTTTATAAAAAACAAAATATGTTCGAAGTCGACTCCACGACGAATATTTATTGTTATACGGCCTGCGATCTGTTGTCGAAATGGTGCACTCACGACTTGGCCAACGCATTCGGTAGTCGGTAGAGAGAGAGAGTATGTTGTATTGTAACACAAATTAGTCGTCGCGGCAAAAAGGGGTTTAAAATAGGCAACCAACCTATAAGTTTTTTTTATATAGAAGAACAGACGTGTAACTAATAATCATTAAAATTATATTATTTAAACACATTTAAAATAAAATTTTTTTAAATGATCTAGTATTTCTACAATCAGCTATGTATGATTAAGATAATTTAAGTGATAAGTGTTATGTCCGAGTTTAAAATGTTCAGTTAATATTTCTTACTAAATAACCAACGTTTACATATTATTATAAAGAATTATTTAAATTGATTTAGACCATTGAAAAATTGATAACGTTTTTATTTATCAAGTACAGAGTTCTATTAATTAACTATATTCATGCTAAATTTTCTGTGATTATCCTTTAATATGAACATATCTGCTCTCTGTATGGTCTTCTAAGTCGCACACATAATTTCGATTTTACACTGCACGTCCTAATAAAAAATGATACATAATTTTTATTTTATCTATGTTCGTTTGTTTATCGTTTATAAAAATTCAACCGTTGATGACGAGTCATATTCATGATTGTCATTAGTCAATATTATTGCCTGTGGCTCACATTGACTGTTTCGAAACATAAATGGCGATCATTAATGAAATAATGACTATAATATATACATGTAAATAATTTTAATTCATTAAAACCATTATTGGTTTTGTTTTGTTATACCTACGTTAAACGAACGGTCTGCTTAATTTATTACTTTCAATTAAGGTGGTTATAAACTAAATATTCAAACCTGTCGAACTTGAGTACAAAAGTACATGCGATCATTTGTTTTTTAAAAAAATTGGTGCTAAAAACAGAACAAGTTTACATAATTTTCATCTCAAAAATCAAAATTTATTGACGGTATTTACACAGTTATGTAATATCAAAATTCTTGTGATTTAGTGTTTAGTGTGATGAATTAAACGGTTGTCGTGGTGACGTGACCCATTATTTGTGTTTATAGCTTACTACTAATCGATCACTCAATACTGTGGATAAAAATCTAATTTAAACTAATGTAGTCATGGCTTGGGAATATCTAGACACTATTCGAAGTACGGAGCGACGACAATGTCTTCTATTTGAGATGGGTCGATCTCAAAATATGTCGAACCAAAGTTATTTGATTTAGTGCACGTCGAGCTAAAGTTTGAAAACATGTATACGTATATACGCGCGTACAAACGTTATACAACAATATGCCTTGTTAAACGTATTTCTCACGCACGAAACTGTCATTGGTATTTATTTACTACGGTAAATAATATAATATATTATTCACTATACTAAATAATATAATAATATATAATATAGCAAATATATTTCGATTTGAATTTTGAAACTTAGTGCTGACAACACGACGTATCTGCCTTGCAATATAGGTACACCCTTTTACAGTGTACAACGTGCATACATATTAAATGGATAACTAACTATTCCGTCTTTCACCTGTAAATTACTTCGAATACTTCAGACGCAATGATCATCTTCTAAGTTAAAAATGCATAATAGTAGTTAAGTTTATAACCAGTACACATCAATGCGGTAGGCTAGCGATTCTCAACCTTCTAACGTCCGAGTACCATCTACACATCTTGAAAATGTTTACGTGCCACTTAATTTAGAAAACTATATTTTTATTTTGCTTTTAAAAAAATGTATAGAATATTAACATTTATTGAAAAAAAGTAAAGTTAAGTATGTTCAATTCGTTAAAACATAAATCGACCAAGCATCACAAGATTATAGAGATTATCGTTTATCTAAATTTCTATCTTTAATACGATTAAAACCGGCCATTTGGTTTAATTAATTAAATAAACGAAATAATATTTCATGATAAATAATTATTTTTCCTTCACGTACCACCTTTGAGCTTTGTGCGTACCTCTAGTCGTACGCGTGCCATAGGTCAAGAAACGCTGCGGTAGGTCGTTATGAATATTTTTTATGATTGTTCGGAAAAACTTGGTTGACATGATACGCTTAGAACATCATGGAATAACTCTATACTATAATCAGTGGCGGCTCGTGTATATGTACACAAGTGTACGTGCACTACTTACTCAAACTCAAGAAAAATTGAAAACATAAATCTTAATCATACAACTAAATACATGTAATGTTATTAAGATTATTTTTCGAAATATAAAAATATAAATTCAGAATATCACGAAAATAATATAATATTTAGATTGGGTTATTTCAACGGCCAAACAACCCAGCCGAACGATTATCCGCGGCAACGGTATCGGTATGTATTATAGTGGTGCAGTTGTGCAGTGTGCAAAAAATCGCTATGCACATTTTTTTGTACTGCGTAAAAATTAAAACAAGTCGATACTCGATACACGCAATCCGCGTTACAATGGAATTGATGTGCTCGTAATCAATTAAATTGTTTTCAGTGAATTATTTTCGACGTCGCCGCGTCGGCATCGGAATTACAGTTTATTTTTACTCTCGTCCGTTTATTATATCCCGATTATTATCAACTGATAATGTTTGTCGATCATTATTTATTATTGGAAATTCAAAACAACAATCGTGTTTCTGTTTTTTATCGACGAACAACATTAACGTACATTATTATTCGTGTATTTGTTTTAAATTTTTAAAATGAATTCAGTACCTACCTACCTGTCTTACCTACTCCAAATACTGCAACTCAATTTTTCAACAATCTCGTCGGAGAAAAAGATGGAAATAAAAAATAAAAATAGGCCTACTCCAGACTTAAACATGAACAAAATAAATGGCAATTGGTAAAGAACTAAAATTTGTAAACAATAATTATTTAATACAGTTTATAATATACATATAGGTCATATTGGTTATATTTTTTTTGGACGTGCACTGACTAATGACTATAATACTATGTACGCAGTGCACTCTAAGCACACACGCGGATTACAGATCAGTACCTAAATATAAATATAATATTAAATCGCGTACAGAATGTTGTAATAATTATTCGGCGGACCGCCTAACGGTATACCGCCACGGTGTGGTTTACTTAGGTTCTTTCATAATTTGAACATGCAGATGCTGAAGTTTTATTTTAGATTTTTGTTCCTATAACCTTTAACATATTATATTGATTTAATATACTTGTATACTTTAAATACTTTGGATATTTTATTTTAATAGTAATATATACAATAATTTTTAAATTTTCTTAAAATGTCGGGAGAGGGGGGGAGCTACAGCCCCCTTAGCCCTCCCCTTGGCTACGCCACTGCATCTCGCGGTTATCGCAATGACGCGAAATCAAAGAAATCAATGGAAAAACGACGAACTGAAATCGCAATCATTTCCGTCTCGCGCGCCGCACCCAACACGCACGACGTCGCGACGGTACCCACATACGTCATAATACTTTTTTTTAGGTTATGAATGTTATCGCGGCCTTGGGGGGGCACGACTCCGTCTACTGGTGGCGTACCACTTTCAAACCCCTCCCCCCCTCGAAATTTTTCCACGACAAAGCATAGAAAAAAAAAAAAGTCATTCAAAATAATACATTTTAGCCCATTTGTTCAAACCTCTCCCTCTCCCTCCTCCACTCCGAAATTTTTTCCTGCGTACGCTACTGCCGTCCACCGTTGAGGTGTTGACTAATCGTTGGCCTCGCGCCGTTTGTGGTTTTCGCAGGTTTGCCATCCAGTCCGTCGGCTGCTGCGGCGGCGGCGGCGGCGGCGGCCGCTTACACGGCGGCCGCGGCGCTGAACCTCGCTCCCGCGTACAACAAGGGACAGCAGATGGCCGTGGTCGTCGTGCCGGAACAGAGCGAGGCGCTGAACTTGGGCAAGAAGAGGACGTCGAACAACAACAACAGCGAGGACGAAGACGCGGACGGCGACCGGCCGGACGGGCGTGACGGCCGGCGCGAGTCGGTGTCGTCGGCGGCCAAGCGCATCAAGACGGAACGGTCGTCGCCGCCCGTCAGCGGTTGTTCCAGCGACGACGAGAAGCCGTCCGCTGCGGCCAAGGCGACGGCGACCAGCGACGGCAGCCCGTCGTCGCCGCAACCGTCGCCGGCCGCCGAGGACGTCGCGTACCGACCCGACACGAGACGCGGCTCGTCGCCCGTCGACGAGGACGTGGTCGAAATGGATATCAACACGTCGCTTTCGGCTGGTGAGTGTGACGTCTATACAAAAATAATACAGTGAAATACCTGACGCGGCGTTGTTTATTATATTTTGATATTCTCGTCTCGTTTCGGGTCGGGATCGGTAAATTGAGTCCCGGAAAAAAGTATATTAATTAAAATGCATGTGGTTTTTATAATATTATGTTCTCAATAAATAATATATGGTATAAATGATGAAAAAATTGTGTCCCGGGAAAAAATGTCAATACGCTAAGTAATATAGTGCGTCAAATTTTACAATATATAGGACCCAACTTATCTACTACCACCATTTTATACCCGGGACTCAACTTACAGCTTTCAAAACGAACCCAAATTATCGCGGACTCAATTCACCTAGCTCCTTTCGGGTCGTCCCGAAACGACGTATCCGGCACGGGCGCCGACTTCACGGGTGGAGGGGAAGGGAAGCAATCGTCCCCGTACTTTGGTTTCAAGAGGGGCACCGCTCCCCCCTCGCACACACTTAAATCGTTACGAAGGTAATGACGTAAAAATAGTACCTATTTTCCTTTTGAGTATAAAAACTATTTGATCGTTATTACCTATGGCATTTTTGTAGCCAATGAGCTTTGACGCGGATAAATGCTCATCAAAACAACTCATATCGTCCAAATGTGACTAGAGATAAAAACCATCGCCGTCACGCATTTTTGAGTGTATAGATATGATTAAATAATAATTATAAACCTATACGACTAATAAATATTAAATTATTGATGATGGTTTTCCCTGGCTCTCCGTTATCGCCCCGCCGATCTATATCTGGCAACGACTGTAGTACATGCTCGATCAATGATCATATTTTCATTGGATAGAATCGGAATAATATCGTTTCACGGTAAGTTTTTTATTTGTCCCCGTGCTAAAATCTAAAAGTCGGCGCCCAGCATAATTCTGCTCGAAACGTGCTCAGTTCGATACCTAAAAAGCATATAATTGTGACGACAGTCACAATGAGAAATGATTACGATGTTTGATGCGGAGATAAAACGCCAATGACGGATTATTGTTTGCGAATTGAATACAATACATTATTATCATGGCTCGAGAGTGGAGGTTTCAGATTTATAACAGAGAGAAGATAAGATACGGAGAGCGTTCGAGATTTTCGAATCTCAGGCGCAGAGTGAATAACTAATTATCCGACTTGTCGACTTGAAAATCAACAATTTGCGCTGCAGGATATTTCTTCGTGTTGTTGAATGAAAAAAAAAAATAAATAATCTCACGTAATGTAAAACATAAACTATAACTATACAATTATTATTGACAATCATATCATTTTACCATTGTCGATGTATATTATAATGTATGGATATATATATATCCGAATTTTCCGAAGAGCTTTTATCGCTATAACATCGACGAGGCCAAATTTCTTGCTAAACGTAATAAATTCCCTACCGGCCTACGAAATATATATGTTACGTACACTGCACACACTGCAGGGCGCGCCGCGTCTTTTGCCAATAACTCGCACGTCATACGAAAACTTTGTGAAGCGCAGTGACTCACTGTGTGTATATCACACTCCTTTGCTAGTTACGTGTGTGCATTACTCGTGTAAATTAGTTCCGCCTCGGTAATTTCATCCGTATTGATTCAAACAACGATGATATCCTACACACAAATATGATATTATAGCCTATACGCATTAATACGCCACATAATGGAACCACTAACATACCATTTCGATGTACGTGTATAGTGTCTCTATAACTTTCCAAGTTTGAACTGAGTTGATTGATATGTAGAGTTTGACGTACGTTTAGTGTGCACTTCCGGTATTTTAGTCCCCCGAGGTTGGAGAACGCGCTCGGGCAGCTTACGTTGGCTGTTGGTAAACATAGTACAATATACCTAACCGTCGTCATTCATCAGCAAATGAGCTGCCATGTACAAACTAAACTTTTAAAAATGTAAACTGGCTTCTAACTTTACTTTTTCATATGTTTTTATTGATTTTAAACTCGAATACACTTTTTTTTTTTTAAATTTGCAATTTTGTTTAGTTCATTTATTTTTCCTTAAAATAAAAATACCTCATTCGAAACAAAATCCATGTATTTACGTATAAATTACTATTATCACCCGTGGAGGTCTCAGATTAGAAGTTATTTCTCACTCCATTGCAGTTTTCTTTTTATCATATCATAACATTATCACTGTGATATTAGAGTTATTATTTCGTATTAACTTTTTTGAAATTTTTTTTTTCTAATATTCTCTATGACCGTGAAATCCCAAATTTAGTTTTGAAATTCCCAAGAGACAATCTTTCAATCTTTTTCCCAAAAAATTATGTAGAATTAAAAATACGTAAAAACGGTTAGTAATAAATGTATAATATTTATTCAGTATAAAAATGTAAAAACAGTTGTTAATTAAACATGTGATTAAAATATGTCATATGGCATCCTTAAATTAATTATAGTATAATGTGCGTTTTTTCACAATCTGTTTGCAACGCGTTTGTTACGATGCGTTGAAATCGAGTGTGGCTTACCGGATCGTGATTTGCCGGCCATAACATACGTTTATTCCGTTTTTATCTATACGTCTGTGTAATATAAAGGGATAACCACCGTCGTTAAAAACAACAATATTATGTTTATATGTAGAAATCCGTTTTTGGTATACGTTTTCAACCCTCAATATTGCGTTGGAACTCGGTCAATGAAATAACGAACGTTGCGCACCGCAGTGTAGTTACCTATATTTGTGGCAATAAGTTTTGCAAATTTGTTAACTAATGAATCAGTTTTCATTGTTTACCAATGGAAAATAATTCGTTTAAAAATCCAGATTTATAATAATATATTATTATAATAACACAATGTCTCCTTAAATATCCGTGATTGCATGAGCTATACAGACTAACTTGTGATCAATTATTAAGATCCAATTTCAGTATTAATAATTAAGCAGATCTCTATGCCAAGACCGTTTTAATTTTCTCTGTTGATTGTTAAAAATTACACGTGAAGAGAATCACGTTAAAACGAATTGTTTCTTCATTAACGGAAGATCAAGGTTTTTTTAGTTACTATTTTAAAAGAAAATTTCAAACAAAAAAAGTGTGATTGTTTTAAGATTAAAATTTCAACTCTTGATATCATAAAAATTCTATTCTACGTTTAAACAAATAATGAATATAAATGATTTCAAATTCATAGTTTTCATGTTTCATTATATTTATAGTCAATAATTTTCATTATTTATTATATTCACGGGTAATCATTTTCATAGTTATTCATAATTTTTATAATTATTAATTCATTATAATAATATTCACAATCAGTATTTATAATTCTGTACTATGTTAAAAATAATAAAAAATATTATTATAAATATTGTTACGTTAAGTGTTTGTCTATATGACGGAACTATAGTTCCGTTATGTGTAGTTTAGGTATGCATTTCGTAAAATGTTGTCCAGCTAGCGGAATTGCGCGAAGTGGAAAAAAAGCGTTTCCGTTTCGTGAAGTGGATATAAACTTTATCCATATTACGAAACGTATAATTATTACGCGATATGGATGCGACATATATATACATATTAATATTATATTACATTATGTCATGCAACTTGTTATTGGTACTTAGAAAAGTTGATGCAAATACGAGTGTGGGCAGAGTTGTAGATATGTTGATGTGCGGTCAAAAGAAAATAAGTCAGACTTTTTGATTCCTTTTGCGAAAAGTACGGTCACGAGTTTTACTCTAAATAAATAGTATTATACACTGCTGCATAATAACGTCATTTTGTATTATAATGTTGGGTGTGCGTGATAAAAAATATTTTTTTCTTGCGGAGTAAGAAAACGTCTTAGACGCAGTATATAGTCTTACTTTTAAAGACATTTCAACGATAGTTGAACACATATAATCACTGTAGTTAATGCATCGTGAGAATTTCGTGAAATAACATATTATTATGATATGGCTACATTGTACAGAAGTATGAGCTGGAACATAATTTTCCATGTTTATATACTTTTTTTATACGAGTACGTTTAAACGTATCGCGTAATAATATTATTTTACATTGCACATATAACATTATATACATTATTATCATACAATTTATAATATTGTTTAACGTACATCGCACTCCATGACATCAAATTTTGTAAAAAAAAAAATTATATATATACAAGAAAATGAGTGTTTACCTTTAAAAGAACCTATTGTCAACTTTAATAACGATATTATAGATTTTTATTATTTAAACTTACATTTGTTGATTTTCTTAATAATTTAATTACTTTTTTTGTTCATTATTACGCAGGCTCGTCTGGTAACAACGGTTTGGCGATTTCTGTTACGCGAAGAACGAAAAATGGCGTGTACATGGGTCAACTCACCAAGAACAACGCATTGATCAACGGAGGCAAGTATATCTCTACATATAATAAATGTAATCAAAAGGTTAAATTCTTTAAGTCAATTTAACGATCTACTAACTAGCAGGCGTAAAAATATTTTAAATTCTTTGAACCAAGACAAGTTACACTGAGTAGAATTTTTTTTTGTCATTTTAATTGTCAGAAATGTCTACAATTGTATATTATATTCATGAATAAATGATCCGATAACGAATTGATTATAGGTAGGTTGTTTAAAAAATAATTTTCAGTTTTTACTATAAATAAATATAATATATATAACATTCAACAGTTTTTCACTTTAGTTTTGATACATCTTACGTGTAGTTTAACACAATAATAAACATAATATAGTGATTTAATGCGCTATTGTAATCGGTACAAACATCATCGAAATTGACTTTTAAGTGATTTAAGTCTTCCTTTCAATATATTTTAGATCAAATCGTTTCACACGTTATAACTGGTGTCAACAACGAATAATATATTGCAATATTTTGTATAATAGGTAACGTAGTACTCTGTTCAGATCAGTCCATCGACCTAGATTGTAAAACGTATTTCCAATATCCCTTTTTGCCAGTGTTCAACCCATCACAACTATAATGTAATGATATATCTAGTTGCTGTGACTGTGTATAATGCACACCACCATATAATTGTAGTGTTTAATACCGTGTTGACTCAAGCGAGAATGAGAGTAAATTCTTGGTATACTAGTTTCTAAGTACAATAATTGTTTTCGCCGTATTTAAAATCACGTTGAACAAACTTTATTATACTTATACTATATTACTATACATGTGGCGCTACCAAGATTTTTTTAAGGGGGGGGGGACTCTAAATATATAATTATCTTAAAGTAGCTAGCAAATTTAATTATTATTTTTATTGTTTGGCTATTGTAAAATTTAATTATAATTAAATGTAAAAAATAAAGGTATGTTCAATGTGTATACTGCTGTAATAACAATAAAATTACAGTATTTTAAAAAGATACTACACGGTTCAAGGGAGGGGGAGTCCGGGCCAAGGACCCCACCCTGGTTACGCTACTGTTACTTTAAAGTTGAATGTAAGATCTTGATATATATATATTATATGTATTATGTACCTACTGTATAGCATATATGTATAAGGTTTATGATAATTTAAAGAATATATCGATAGTTCTATATACTATCTTATTTGGTTTATATACGAGTATACTCGTAATTAATTAAAAACAAATTAATTATATTGCTATATTTCAGCACAATAAACATATGCCAACATTTAATTAAATATAAATAAATCATTTTTTCGCACCAAAGTTTATTTTATTGTGCTATTAAGTAATCCAACATATTATTTAAACTTCTTTAAAAGGTAACTAGGTAATTCATATCAGATAGGAAATTCAAATAGTAATAGTTCATTATTGTAGTCCTTCAGTTTACTTTCATAATTTTTAGTATTTACGTTCATTGCTTTTCTAGAGGTAAAGAAAAATATACCAAATATCTACCCACCTATCAATATTAACGCAAAAAAAAAAAATGGAAGAGGGAGTCTAACATAAATTTATATGATTAATGCATTATACAATAATACAACTAATTATATTTTAGATTAATATTGGCTAACTATATTGTTTATCATACATTTTAAAATTTACAACTAGGGATTCAATATCCAACGATTACTACCCATCCCTCTATTTAAAAAAAATAATACTAAAGGAAATTACCTCTTAAATTATTATTCACCACCCAATTGAACTTGACATTAGAAATAATCTAGATTTTGCTTGGATTTTTCAATATTTTAAAAAGTTTCATGAATTTCTTCTTTTTAAATAAAAAATGCTTTATACATAAATAATTTCTGTAAATCTCGTAAAAATATCATTAATTTAAACAAAGTTAATTATTTTAAAATCATAATATGTAGTCGTCTTCTTGTGTAATTGTAAATGTTTTATGTCTTTATGTGTATGATTTATTTTGTAGTAAACAGTTGATCAATTATATATTTTCATACTAAATTTTATTGAAATTTTAAAAACGTTATTGCTTTTATTTGAAATTTGATTGTTTTGGTTTTACTTAAAAAAAAAAAAAAAACTAGCAACTTTATTTATTTTTTCATGGATTGAGAGCTTTGAAAATTTTAGTACTATTTTGTCAGATCTGGTTTTATTGCTACATCTATTATAGGTACTAATGTTAATTGTAGTTGTTACTTACTATAACTGCTATTTTATTTATATGTGCGTCTATAATGTTTGCAGTACGCGTCTTTACGCAAACAAAAACAAATCGTCACAATATTGAAGTTAATATACAATATCCATTCAAGACCGAAACAATCGGCAAAAACCATAAAACAACGACTTTTGATTTAAATCTATACAACGGAGTTAATGGTTCCTGCGTCGCTTGATCTCTCAATTTTTCAACTTATTTGTTACTTATAATAGCATATACAACGACTTGAAACTTAATATTTAACAATTTGCTTAAATATCATAAAACACAAATAACTCGTCTTTCACAATTTTTCTAACCGTAGCCTATTACGCATAACACCTATTCAACTGGATTGAGTTATCTTAGTATAAATTTTCTTATTGTAGTCGTTATAAGAAATATTTATATAGTTATAATAATATATAAAATAATGCAATTGTACCATACACAATGGGAATTCAGTAGAAGAATTTCTCTCGACCATTTTTGCATTGAATTTATATAGATTAGGTTTTGAATAATATTAAAAGCAAAATCGTAAAACGATGATGTTATTGACGTTATATACCCCATAAAATGTATTGATGAAAAGTAGATTTTCGACACAAAGTAAAAATGACGATCAAAATATTAAACGTACCTACGCACTCAACTAATTTTTATATGATAAACTATTAAACACAAATATTTCTATAATTATTATTTTCTACAATAATTTTGAATATTTTTTTCTTCTTACTATCAAGGCGTTTTCCCGTTCACAAAAAATACGAATTTGTGAACATTTGTTTTAGAAAAATACTTTCACATAGTATGAACTATATTTTGCTTCTTACTTTTTTTAATCATACCATAAATTGAATATTTCTAAAAATAAACAATATAATTTTTTTTTTCTTAATGTAGTTGATCACGTGGTTTAATTTTTATTTTACTCTATTTAGTGTGTATGATTTCTTTCTTACTATTGTGTCATAAAACTTGATAGTTTACGTATTTTACGTCTGCCGCGCTAATTCTATTAATGACTGTTTTCAAGACAAATTATAATTTAGAGGTAAATCGTGATTATGGCGGTCGTTCGTCGCATATTATTAATATCATATTAATATTATTATTATTGTCATATCGCGTATACTCGGGTAAGGTTAACTGCGTAATAATATCTCAGTCAATAAAAAAAAAAAAGTTTTTCCGTATACTGTATACCACTGTTTGCAATAATAATATATATTAGTGCAGCAAGAGCGTATTAATACGATATAATGTCATTATATCATTAAGTACACTACAAGTATAGTATACGGGTCACTGAACCGCGTATAAATTGTATCACGAACAATTAAATTATTATATTTTAAGTTTGTGTCTTGTGCGTATGGTTTCTTAAGTTTAATTTTAATCGTCAAACAATCGCAGTCTATACGTATTATACTATGTTTTTGTACCTAAAATATTATTTCATAGAATATTATTATCATAAAAACAATTATTGTTCGATGTCTGACTCGTTACGTTCCGTTTTTCAGGATTGAACAACAACGAAAATCCGTTCGTACTGCACCTGAACGGAGATCTGTACACCGGACAGTTGCAGTTGCAACAGCAGCAGGTGGCCAACAACTGAGGATTTGATGTTTCTCTCACACCGGCCATCGGCGAAGTGTACACGTGCAAAAAAAAATAATGATAAATTCGTCTGATTTAGAAATATTATGCCTATATAATACACACATTATAACTTATACCGTATTATTTTAATACAATTTGGACGTCGAAATAAAGAGACGTACTATGCCTATACACATCTTATTATAACGGTGTAGGTACACTGCGCCGCATTCGACTCAAAGACGAAAAATGTGTTATTATTATTATTATTATTATTATTATTATTTTTTTTTTACGAATAGCTTTTGACTGATTTTATATTTGGTGTTAATATTTCGGTAGCATATTGTAGAAAAATACTTCGTTTACTAAATATCGAGTTTTATTTATTGCCGATTTTCAGGTATTATTATATTTATTATATTATGTTGGCCGGTGACCGTGGTATTGCGTCACACTCACATTTTTTCAACAATATTGTCATATTATTGTGAATTGTAATATAATTCGTTTTTACTTTAGTTCGATTAATACTTTTCTACCAAAAAGTTTTGTAAACGTGTTTGAGTTTGAGATAAATAGAAAATTTGATATTTACACATTGTGTGATTCAATGTAATGTAAACAAATTGAAAAAAAATATGAAGTATATGTGTGTATATTCAGCAGCATAATAATATGTACAGTGTATATTGTAGTTATTTTGAAGTTTATTGTACGACTTGTGTTTCGTCAAAACTTTCTTTTTATAGAATGATAATAATTGTATTTTACATTTATACGGTCTCGTCGAATCGAGGACTTTGTATATTTGTATGTGTGTCTTTGTGTGTGTGTGTGTGTGTGTGTGTGTGTGTGTGTAAAAGTGTATATTTCGTATAAATATATTTAGAATGCGTAAACCGAAATCGGAAGGGTTCAAAAGACTTTTTGTACATAAAAATTCAATTGTAAAAGTTTTTTTTTTCATCGACTCAATTTTGGTCAACTATAAGGTTTGTCTGTGACAGCAATAAGACCTAAATAAAAAAAAAAAAAAAAAAACATTTACGGAATCAAAAAATAGGATTTTGTTAAAAAATAAATTAAATCTATTCGGATTCACGTGATTTTATACGTATATTATATAGGTATTTACATTATATTACGTAATATAACTATATTCGAAACCGTGTACATAATAATATAATAATATTACTAAAACTACATTATACGATATAATTACAATATAATATTGTACTTTATATTTGCCATTGAGTGGTTTTAGTTTTAAAAGTATAGTAATTTATCGATTTATTGTGTTTTTAGTATATTATTCAGTTTAAGTTTAGTGTTAGCTTTTTTTTTTCTCGGTAGACTCTACGTTGAGGCGTATAACTATTGTTAGTTTAATAACTAATTATAATATTAATACAAACGGGTGTGACAAATACACGGCATATTAAATTATTGAATGTAAGAATTTTTTAGTTAAACATAATATTGTGATGTTATATGCTTGTGGGCAACGAGATCTCATGTTCAAATGAATAAAAATATCATCGTGCTGCACACGTATTACAACGCTACCATGTCGTGTTTTTCATAATGATTTCTGTACTTGCATCGAGTTAACATTTATTTATTGACTTCGACGAAGCAATATATACGCGCATCAAGTAAGCATAAAACAATAGTCAATAGCCAATTCGTCCTAAAACCGTCGTCTTCGATACGATGACGTGTGCATGACCATTTATTGAAATGTATTACTTTATCCAAGACACACTTTATTGCTGCCCATATTATACATAGTTTTATAAAATATAGTATTAGTGTGTACATTTTATTATTATATTAATACATTTATACTATCATTATCACCGTATCATTGTAATTTTGTATTATATATTATAAATATTATATGATGCGTATTTAATATCTGTGTTTATTATCATTAGGTACTTAATACAATATAGGTATGTGTTAATTACTATTTATTTATACATTTATTGTCATTTATTTTTTTATCATACACATTCATGTATAATACTTTAACGATTTAACGCCATTGCAGGATAATAGCTAAAAAAATATTTTAGTAAAGCAATACTATGATGATATTACAATATATAATAAGCACATTGATTGTAAAAACAAAATTAAACGATTTGTCTTTATTATATTATACACTTATTGTACCAATATATTTTATTATTCATGTTGCATATTATTATACATTTTAAATAATTGTTTAGTACCTCAACGACGTGAAAAATTATTGCTAAAGGGGTTGGAGGTATGGCAAGCGATTATATATTCCCGAATCTCATCTATCGACTTCATTCATCCAGCTCGTAGTAATGATGGCGGTTTTTGTTTTGTTTAAATTATTATAGATTAGGATATATTATTCAAATTGTATTGTATCGTGTAACGCAGTTAATATTATTAACATTTTGATGTACTGAAATTTAAATTTAAATATACAATATATAGAAATAATTTTCAAGGAGTTGGTTTGTTTATTAGAAATATGCGTGATTGATCTCGTTTCAGGGCACAAAAAGAGAAACTACGAAAAAAAAATCATGTTTGAAGTTTGAAAACGTTCAAGGTATAACATTATACAAATATATAGTAACTAAATATTTAACAAATTACAAATAAATAAATAATTTTAATTGAAAGTACGATTAAAAAGTTTACAATTTTATAGGATATTGTAAATTTTAAAATTTGGTATGTTTTGGTTTAGTTCATAGATATTATAACTGTTAAGAATGTGTTTTTATAGTTTATTTGGATAACTGGACGTAAAATAAGTTGGAATGTTCTAAAAAAAAAAAAAACCCGGAGGATGATTAAATTAAAATAAAATATCAAGGCTAAAAATTTTAATAATATTTTTAATTTAGAAATATTTATATATTGATTTAGTTGATAGAAATATTGAATGCATCAATCTAATTAGTATATTATATTATTGGTTTAACTTAACTTTGATTAATTTAATTTAAAAAAAAAAAATGTTTAAATTTTAAAATCACATTGTACTTTTTTTTTTTAAATATCCACAACATTAATTTATTATATATAATTTGTATTCATATTATTTCATAATCAGAACATTAGCATTAATACTAAAATGTGATTATAAATGTATTCATATATTGATTATAACTTATAATTTATAATTAATAAAGTAAATAGTTATAGTCATATGACTTATAATAATAATGATTACATAAAGTAATCTGTATTTTTATCTTTCTTTGGATGTCAAATTTTTATATTACATAAAATTGATTTATCAAGCATATTACACAAACAATAAAGTGTAAACCAATTAATATCGAAAACATTAATTTTCTTGATAATAAATTTTAAAATCAACTTATCACAAGCTGTATTGAAAAAACAACGTGTCGATATATCGAAGTTACCCCTGGTTAAAATTACTTAAGTTTATAATACAATTTCTATAACTAACAAGCTCAAATTTTAAAATTAATTCAACTTATTGATATTCTAGTCTTAATCAGTAGTATAGCAATTATATGTATACTATAATAAATTTCACTTGGGCACAATTGATCAAGCTTTGACATTTTTAGAAAATTTAATTTATATAGTTCAATACAAAAATAATAATATAGTATAAAAGTCATTGTTGTTAATGTTAAAAACGACCAATAATAATAATAATAAAAGAAAAACTATAATTTATGAACTTTCTTTGGTCCATAGAGTGTAGATTATCCATATTGAACATACATTAGACATAAGATACAAAAAATGGTTGGTAATAATTGATAAGTTATTGACTGACTGTACGTTAATACAATAATAAATACGTACTCGAGTTTTGTTATAAATAGAACAAGAGTACAAGTATTTATAGTTCTATAAATAAAACTTTATCTTTGTATATTATAGTATAATAAACAGTATTAAGCTTATTATAATTCGTGTTAAAAAAATAAAAATAATCACATTTTAATCTTGTAAAGTAAAACTTCACTAATAAAAAAAAATGAACGTTTATTAAAGGCTTTAGAAAGAAAAATGGATTATCTTCCCGTAATTTTAAAACATCCGTATTTCGTACTCGCTGGCCTTTACTGTCTATTCTGTATTTATACGACCACTTAATGAATATTACAGCCGGTAAAAATGTACTGCACAGTTTAATATTTATGAATTTTTGAGTTAGGTGTACAATATCAGTATAGGTACCTTTATTAGTGTACCAATGTGATGTGTCTTATGTGACGTTAAAAATTATTTAACGGATTATTTATCATCGTAAAATGATATTGTATAAAATAAATATACTCGATTAAGCATAAGTGAAGTTTTTGAAATTTTTCTTGTACCTGAATATTATAAGTTATAACAATAAAATTACTTGAAAAAATCAATAATTGAGGAACGTAAATGAAAACAATATTTATGTGATTTATATGAACAGCGTTCATAATTAAAATTAACGAATACATATAAAGCTTAACATTTTTATGCAGAAGAAATTATTTATTTCATAAGAAAAACAAGTGAAGTTTTGATACTGGTGTTGGTAATGTGGTTTACCTATCGTTGATTTTTGATGATAGAATCGATATAATTTTACTGTCATCCTGATTTTAAAATATATGTTGATATAGTTATTTGCAATTCAATCCATTTCAATCATTATTATGAAAAAAAAAAAATCTTGTCACGGTTTTGATATTGAAATAAATGAAGCGTTATAAATAATCGACAGTACGCAATGTTATACAAAGGAGATCGAAAATATATAAAAGCATGGTAATCCATATTTTATATCTAAAATCACAGTTTATGTACAGTTGTTATATTACATTCAACTGTCGATCAATTTTGGTTATTCAGACAAATCGTGTTACACTGGATGTCGTCTGGATTATACATAATATTTTATGATATTATATTATGGGTTTTTTAGATTTTGGATTTCTATTGATTTTTAAAGATTGATAATGGTAGTTTTGCCGTGATGTCGTTGTGTTAATAAGTATATTATATCAAATGCTTCAGAAATAACAAAAAGGAAACAAAAACACATGCAAATTTTAGTTTATAGATTTAGTTATATTAATTTATTAAAACAATTTAATTTTTTTTTTTTTTTGTCATCGTGCATAGCGCACCTAAATAAAGTAGAAAATACGCATTACCCAAGACCATAATAATAATGTCACTGCTTATATGTATTACATATAATAATATTATAAAAACATTTACAATAAATTTACATGATCAAATCAATAATATCAATATTTATTATAATATATACATAATATGTATGTCCGTTCAGTAAATAAAAATATTTTATTTATTAATTTTCGTGAGTAATAATTGATTACTGTGCCCAAAAATACGGCGTGCGTGGACTTTATGAAATCTAATAATTTTTAAGTCATTTAATCTCATTAAAGATTCGTATACAAATCTAAATCGATATTTTATGCACTTTTGAGTGTAAATTCTTCAATTCACGCGGCTACCTATGTACGTATTGTTATACATATAATTTTATATTTTTATTCTTTAAATGCATTATTATTTTAAGTGGAAAAGCGTCGAAATTTTTGAGGCGCATAATGTGCAACGCAAATTTAAGATTTCTCTGAATTTCATCTCAGGTGGATTAATATATAATATACGTAAATATAATATAATATACATACATATATATATATATATGTATATGGATGATGTAAAAAGCGTATCGTCGTCTATGCAAATGGATTTTTTGAAATCACATCCCACATGGCTTTGTTTTTGCAAAAGAAATTTTATGAAATAATATTTTCTTTTTTTTTTTTTTTTTGTATAATAACCTTTAAAGTGTTATTTATATTCATGAAAAATATAGCTATTTAATATAAACAACACATCTTTCATATTATATTATAATACATAAACAGTAATATATAATAATTTGATATATTATACTATAATATTATTCATTGAAATATACAAGCAATAGGTCTAATTCATCACCATCACTCCTATAAAGCCGCGTCTACAAGACGATATTAAAACGTGCAATAGTTGCAATTTT